TGCACACTTGCATATGTGCGTATATCTTAACACATATTTGTAAATCTATAATAATATACATATAGATATGTGTTAAGATATACACATGCAAGTGTTCAGTAGATATAATTACAAGTAGAACTCTATTCTACAATTAAATGCGAGTTATAGATAATCTAAGATCTTAATATGATAAATATTACGCGGTGGGTAATGAATTGGGCTGTAGGCTAGCACACAGTGCCCGGCATTTGTTTTTTGTGGCTTTGAAATTAGCGCGCATACTGTTGTATAAAAAGTCACTATTCGCACGTAGAGACTCGAGCTGTTAGCCAGAATAGCCAGGTAGCGGCCACTCCGCTTATTGTCTCTCGGAACGTAATCGCGGTAAGATCATATCGTGATCGAACCCCGCTGTTAACTCGTGCTGTTCACAATTCGAATTCGGATTACATTAAAAAGATCAAATGAATATCCATTTAGACAGATATCTCTCTCTCTCTCTCTCTCTCTCTCTCTCTCTCACGCGCGCATAATTCGTTTAATTTAGGGAATTATAAATTGCTGCTTCGTAGTACATAACTTATGGGCGACAATCATTTCCCTAACGTCGATCGAAATTATCTGGCGCCGCGCCGTACTTGGAATTTCTCGTCGATTTATCTAACATTTCCGGATTTAGAGCGCGGTACCTAACGCACGAATTATCGGGCCGAGTCGGTTCGAGCAACGAAAAGCCATTGCGATGTATCAAATGTTCACTAACATTTGATTTGATATATAAGGAATTTTATTTTGTAGTTATTAGTACCTACATTAAATATCGCGGAAGCAATCAGTTGGTTGGCGCTCGGTACGGCGCATTTTTTGTTTCTATTATACGCTAGAGTAGCGTTGAAGTCATTCGCGCGGTATTATCTCTCGGTACGCGTGACAGGTACTAGAGGATGAGAGACATAATTATTCCCTATATGAACAACACAAGTACAGCCCTAATTAGCTCCGTACGTTAACCACGCAATATAACTTCGGCGTTATATCAACCGACCGTTCGAGATTCGTCCATTACGCTAATTTACGGGACGTCGCGGTTAACAACGGGAGTGCCGTGCCAAGTGTCGTGCGATCCTTGTATTTTAACATAGCGAACAGCGTGTGCGATCGTAATTAACCGCGTTTTCGAAAGTGTCGTGTGAGAGCAACCAAAGAACCTGAGAGGAGAAGGAGGAAGAGGAGCAGGAAGTCTGGCACGCATTAGTATAATAGGCGACAGCGGAACAGCCATGAGATAATTATTTACTATTTCATTTGTTACTGTTATGTAAAATTCATTTACAATTATTTTAAAACTACTTCAGTAAACTACTACGAGCAATAATTGTTTTTCTGAAAGTATTTATTATTTTGAGAGTTACTTTAATTCGGATACACATATTTGTATTTTATAAGTTGACGTAATTTGCATTATTTACCATTAATTTTACATTATGTGATAAATGATAAGTTATACTTTATTTTGAGATAATGGATCTATAGAATAAAATACTATGAGATATATTTATTTACATAATGTATGCATATATTAAAAGTTTAAGAATATTGCAAATATAATATTTCATAGATATATTGTGTCTTATCGTAAATAAACTAGAATAGATTAGTATCAATATTTAATCTTAGAACATGTGTATAAGATTATTCATTGAATGTTATACGTACGAATTGTTATGCATATGAAAATACAGAAGTACAGACTATAGACAAAGCTCATAAAATAGAGTTTGTTAATATTTGACATAATATAATTTGCTAATTATGTGATTTAATTAACTAAATTTTATGAGACAAACTCGCGTAAAATGGTAAATACGAGGAGTAAAATATTTTACAAGAGCTTGCTTAAAAAAAATATAATAAAATATAATAGAGTAATTCTTGTAGAAGAAAAATTGTTTCCACACAAGATGTTATACCTTACATTCTTTATCAAATATTCTATGTACGATTTTTGAAAAATTGGAAATATTACATAGAAATAATATCTCAATGATGTTGTTTCAACAAATTTTTAATATCAATCATATAATTAATTAATTAATTAATTAAATTTTCTTATTCGTTATTTACATTAATATTGAAAAATAAAGAAAATGAAATTTAAGAAAATTATAATAAATATATATAAAATATCGGTATTTTTTTGTAAAATACTAAGTTTTAATTTAAATTTCTTCATGATATTCATATTTCATGGACAATAAAGACCTCAGATAAGTTATTTATGTGTACATTAATATAAAACAAAAATAAATTGATTTATATAAAACAGAATAAGGAAAATTTGTTCAGTTCTCCAGAATATACTATATCAAAATACCGCACCATCCATAATGAATGTAAGTAAGATCTTCATATACAAAATTAAATATACAGGAAATACATTTCCTCAATTAATTTCAAGGATGTTAGTTCAAGATAATGTTAAATTAAAATATTTATTTAGTTACCGAAATATTTAATGTTTAAAACTGCAAAAAGTATTTTTTTTTTTTTTTCATAAAAATGTTATCAAGGAAAAACATAAGTGTAAGGAAAACATGAAGAGCAAGGAAACATCTTGTGTGTAATAGGTAGACAGACTCGGTTCGTATATACCTTTACGCCATGAACTGCATCTTAACGTTTATATGATCCTACCGCACTACAAACGAGCGTTTCTAGACTTTCTAGCCGCATACAGGATACAAATTAATTCTCATCTCAGCCACAGCTGCTAGATACGGCGGCTTTTCAGCTTTCGCATAAATCGCGGTACTGTTATAGGAATTTAGAAATTTGGTAAAATTTAACCGGTGCGGAAATTTTTATTAGATAACGAATTCGCGTAAATCTGGTTTGAAGTTGAACTGTCTTCGCTGCACAAGCGATTGGTGGTTTTCGTTGATAGAGAAAAGGACAGGCGACCGCGGATGATTAGCGGAGGAACAGAACGCTCATAACTTTGTCTATTGTATCCATCTAGTTTAAATTTCTATTTACTTTCGCGCCAAAAGTTTGCAGCGAAGGGCTCAAGTGTCGTGTATGAGTTTGCGAAGAGCGACGAAAGCGTAAACGGATTTTCCTCCATCCGACATGGCGGCTAAGGACCCGCTATTATTTACAAAAGTTCGCCGTTCCTTACTTTCCTTTCTCGCCAAGTCGTACGCCGCTTTTAACGAAGCGAGGCGTACACGAACTTTGAAGATACATAGCAGATGGTGCTTTTTGCGGAAAGTCTTTCTCTTTAATCTTTGCACCTAAGCTTTGCGAGAGTACGTAGTTTGTCCCAAATAAAATGAAACACGAATTAATCATATGCAAACGCGTTTGTGCTAAATTAACGCGAAGTATACTCACATAATAAAAAGAAAAATCCGTTTCGAGCATTCTTTTTAAAGCTATATAGTTGCGTATTTGTTTTTCATTAAATAGAGCTGTTCGAGATATTTGTTTTCTGTGAAAAATAGAGTTAAACAGAAACGGGATAAATTAAATTATCACTAAAAATAAAACAATAAAATAACTAACGCGTTTATTTTTTATTAATCAACAGGAACGCAGAGATTTTATCATATTGGAAAATTAATTTTCTCGTATAGAATTCGTTGAAATAGACTGAGCAATTTATTTCTGCCAGTAATATTTTGACAAATCACTAGTCCCTCTTAGTCAGTTATTATATGCCAGTGCTCGATACGCATATGTCTACAATCTACATCGATCAATATCGTTCAGATTACACTAGGCTATTTTTCTATTGATAGTACGATATCGCGAGATCATATTTTTTCCTCGCTGTGAATCGATGTACCTCTAGGTGCTTCACCAGCACGAAAAACGGAGGATGCGGACGATGCTTCAAAGCGGTGATAAATCTCATGCTACGCAATAAAAAAAAAAATCTCGTTCCTATTCGAGAAAAATTTGCCATGTAATGGATTCCGATCTTTTTGTATGCCGAGATTGTGCGTGTCCTACGCCACGCGCTCTCTTTTTTGCGTCAAATATCGAGGTAGCAATGGAGAGAAAGGCAGAAAAGAGAGAGAATCAGGAATTCGTACATATGCCCTTATATTCCCAGTTTTCCTCTCCAATGCGTCATCATACCAGCATTTCGCTATTGCGATGTCAGTGTAAAAAAAAGTCGTCCGTTTTTTTCGCATAACTTTAATTACCGCGGTTTTATTAGACGCGCTTGCAACGTACATGCGATGAACGGTATTGATCGCGCGTTCGTTTTTTATTGGAGATGTTCATATTCAGTAGTACAGCAAAATTATTTTATTACGACAAAAGGAATGGCCGCGCGATAAAGGAAGTTCTGCGATGGTATCAAAGAGCTGATCGCGGCAATATTAAAATATTTAAACGGTTAAATAATTGCCTTGCATTTGTATTAAGCAGTGTTGCCATAGACATTTTATTTTTGTTGATCATTAATTTACAAAATAAAAATTGAAACGTGAATAGGAATCCGCGATTCGGTTCTTTCTAAAGAAAGTGTTGACAGACGGAATTAGGTGAACCGAATAGTAAGAAATGAGAAATCTCATAAAGAGATATAAATTGTTGTCTATTGCAAGAACCGTCAAGGCAACGGGAAGATTGAGTAGCTTGAGACTCTTCGATCAATTCCAACGCAATAGTGAAACTCGACTCTACTCGATGATATCCGAGAAGGATCTTAGAAAAGATCCTTCACTTTTCTATCTTCATGTTCTTCACATTCTCGATAACACTACGCTGCAAGAAGCGCGTTATATATACATATATACACACACACACACACACACACACATCTGTCATATATATGTCGCACATTTACACACACAATGGATTTTCAATTTCAATTACCGATATTGCGATATCGACGGTGCGCTCGTTTACCCGTACTCTCTACCGCATTCTCTCCCTGGATTTACGTTGGATATTTTCCGCGCGTAATTAATTCGACCTAGTTTAACATCACATCGCTCGCTTACCTGGAGATTGGGTGGGCAATGATCGAGAAGCTCCAGCATGTGCCTGATGTTCTGCGCGTCCTGTATCACGAAATTCAGCTCCATGTCGAATTCACCGCCCACGAGCTGCACATAAAAAAAAGGAAAACACGTTAAAAACATTGATAATTGTACAGCTGTATAATCCGCAGTGTTTTATGCGTAACAATGTCGACAAGGCAAAGTTCATTCTAACAGCACGTACATTATTAGCTCTTCTGCGTCCAAATATATGAGTAGTCATAAATAGTAACTCTCATGGACACAAACGGATCGGAAGTTCCCGGGGAAATGTATGTGGATAGCGTCGGTATTTAATCGCGGAAATGTTGCTAACTGAAAGCTTCATCGCTCGATACTCGGACGTACGTCAAACGAATGGTTGTACGTAACGCCATTCCGTTATATCGAAATCCGGACAGTCACGCGCGGGGTGAAACAAATAATACCATTTTGACAACCAATCGCTGATTACCTTATGTTATTATCAACATTAATTGGTAGGAGCATACCTTTCCGAATCCGAATGCAGCAACGCTTTTGTCTACCTATAGAATCTCTTGGTTCATTAAATATGTTTCATGTTCGACGTTGAAAAACAATATCCGATTTACGCGATACGCATAAAATGAATAAATATCAGCATTTTGTAATATATGTATGGGCGAGCGAAAATTTGCATTGGATTATACATACATATTGCATCTTTTTAAGAGTATTACGGTATCGCTCGTTATTGCGCATAAAAGAATAATAAATAAAGCCACTTCAATTTCACGTTTTTTCACTCAAAAAATCTATATAACGTATGACGATTCGAGACGGTGATCGTCTGGCGAACTAATACATATATTTAGATCGACCGTGTAATAAGGATGTATTTTTAGGGATACCCAAAACGTTGCAGACGAAACATTTTGGACACGAAAAGTTTACGGGCTATGTCCGTTTGCGGTTCTTTTTCTTACTGGGACGACTTATATATAGCCGGACCGGAAGTGCTGCCTCTGCGGAGAGAGCGTAATTTCCGGGGAAGTATTTCGCGCTCATCCTCCGCGCGTTTCTTTTCTTTCTCGCCTTTCTCTGCTTCGTTTTCTTCGTAGACGTATCGGTATCGATCATGAATTCCTTACAGCCATATCCGTGTCTTCGGCGAGGTCATGACCAATTTTTACGAGCGTCGATCGCTCATAAAAATTCATAACTTACGCATCATCGTTTATAAAACTGCCTGTGCCGGCAATTGAAAGTAGAGGTTATCCCGGTTCAACGGTTTCGATCGAATCGGCACATCGGATCTTAACTTTACTTTCCGTTTCTGGAGGAGTTGTATTGTAAGCTGTGGCAGATTGGAATCGCCAGAATCGCGAAGAGCGTTGGTTTCGTTCTACATTCCGAAAGAATATTGCTGCAACTATTCTTCTGCGAAATACGTGAGAGCGAGGGCAAACTTTCCGCGAGTAGGAATGTTGCTCTTTCCAAACCTCACCAAACTCGCAACTAATACCGCATTTGGTGCCGTTAAAGCGTACACCGATGCCGCGCGATGTTGGAAAAATAGAATTGTTACAGAGGCACCGCGTTCGATAATGGCACGCTCGGACTTTCTCGCTTTTACCCAGCGCTTTTACCACGGTTTACCATAGCGTTCGGAAAGCTCATGTTGCGCGTAATAAGATGACAAAGTTTGCTACTCGATCTCGGGAACTCTCGAAACTAAAAGCGGCAATATCAACAAACATTGCGTTTGACTCGACTCTACAAGTAATAACAAGCAATTTCTGTGAGCAAGTAATCTGACGAATGATATGCCGGCAAAATTAACTAACATAACATTTGCAAACGACAGAATATCTGTCATTACTAAAAAATCTGTATGAAATTAAATTGAAATTTTATCATAAAATAAATTTCAAGACGTATATTGGAATATTTTTTACATCGAATTATGAATTATCTGATAAACTGTTTGATGAATTATATAAATTATCTGATATACTTTTTAATAAAGGAATCAATCGCTTTTCGGCATAATGTCTTGTTTTCTATTAATATTAAAATATTAATGTTAATAAAATTTTGCTACGGTTCTTTATTCCTCCGACGTTTACACGAATAATTGCATTAGATTAGAATGCCATAAAGGGAGAAACAGAATTTTCAAAGTACAGTCGTTTGGCGTACTCCCAACTATTTACAACGCAATTACATTCTTGCATATGCGATGCACTGTGGACATGAGAATGTACGCCCGGAATTTAATTTAATTCTTTTTTATGTTATATGTACTGCTAGCTATCCCATCACCAAAAATTAAAACTATTTAATCAAAATAAAATGTTATTTAATCATGTTTATGTTGGTAAAAATATTTTGCAACTATGTGATCAAATTATGCAACAGAAACATTTTTCTATAAAGTATGGAATATCTGTTATTAGAAAAAATAATCAGAGATTTATATGCAATTAATTTATTTGGATATTTCATGCTTGTCATTGTATGGAAAAGCTGAGATAGGGAGAGACACATGATGTGTGTAGATTAAAGTTTATATCGTCACGTATCGGCTCTTTCCGGAAATCGTTGATCCCTGGAGGAAAATAAATCTTTGCGTAATGGGAAGGGAGGGAGAAAGGTAGAGCATTATTGCCGATAGAGAGGGTTCGATGCCGCCAAAGCAATTTTTCGAATGACCGATATCACTTGCGCAAATCTTAACAGCCAACATCGTGCCGAGAATCGAAAGAATAATCGAATGACATTTAAAAAAAACTCGATTCGCAGTTTTCGTATCATCGCATTAGATCGCTTAATCTTCCTGAACTCACCCTCTGTTCTATGACACATAGACTCGCCCACGGTTTCTGTAAGACAATTTTTATATCATTTTTATATAATAAAAATATAATAAATTTAACATTAAGTTTGTTTTTGTCATATAAACTTTGATTTCTTGTTAATGTTGAGGATGTCTTCTAATGAAAAAATAGAAGAAATAGTAAATAAAATCAATCTTTATTTCTGATATGTTTTGAAGAATTACATGGTTTTCGGAGAAAAACGTCGGTTTTGTGTTCCGACAGTCTGAGAGGCGGTGAGTTCGGACAGGTTAAAAAAAAGAAAGTTATTTTACGTAGAAAAAAGTAATTTTACTTATATCCCTTTGTGTTTCGATTTTAAAATTTGAATTGAACGATACAATTCAGATATAATATAGTCCGACACTATTATATCTGCTCTCTTATTATTTGAAATCTACGTGTGTGAATCCTTCGTTCTTTGAATTTAGCAATTCCATTTTGGCTTTTATATCGCTATTTTGCAATGCACAAACGGCCACGCGACATACGTAATGCAGTCGTGTACTAAACCTGAATGACGCTATAGATATGTATGTATGTACGTGCAGCTGAGAGAAAATGAGGGCGGACAAACGAAAAGTGATGAGTCTCAACCGGCGAATTAAGGTCGACTGGTAGAGCTGGACCGCTAATTAGATACCACTCACTTTTACACCTGCATATCCTTTGACAAAAACTGTTACGCAAGGCACAGCGCACATCTAACTTGCATATTCGACACTGAGAGCCATTAAGGAGTTGCGTACTTACAAAATTAAATGTATAAAATTATTTTAAATTGGTAATGACGTTATTTAATCAGTTTTCTTAGTATTTTATAATAAAAATATTCCAAAGCTTTTCTATAAGCATATTTAAATATATATATATTTTTCTATATGCATATTTAAATATATATATATTATACAATTTAATTATTTTACAAATTGAAATATATGACGATATCAGATAGTCAGCGACAATTATTATGCGTAGTTACTAGTTATTTCCAATCAATTTAGTATTTTTGTTATCGGAAAATCGAAACTTAATAATTCAATTTCCAATTCTCTTTATGGGTCGTTAAAGTGAAATTTATTATAATACGCTTTGCTTTATGATGCAATAATCGTCGATGCAAAGCGAGAGCAAATAAATTTTATTGGAAAATTGATTTATTAGTTGTAAGCCGGTCCTTATTTGCGATGTACAAAGCACGGTGCGAACACGTTCGTGCTGTTTGTACTTGAAAAGTCTTTATCGAATTACCGCAGAGACAAATCCTGTTTGTGAAATTTTAGACGTCCTCCATTTCCTCTGAAAATGTATTTCTATTGATTCTATATATTTGTATAATGTTTTTGACTTTAACTTATTGCTAAAAAGGAGAGAAAGTTCTCGATGCAGAAAAGATGATACATTTTTCTTCTTTTGAAATTAACAAGATATAACGTAATTAAGAATGCATAGACTTTATATAATGTATATCATGATTTAATAATTTAATGACTAATATAATATATTAAACGTTCACAAAAAAAATTGCGGAAATATGTATCACGGTGATGCGACGTGAGAGTCTCCTCGTATATCATCTTGCGGAAGACCCGAGGATCACGAGCGTTATATCATTTCTGTCAGAGTAGGCAAGCACGTCTAGCGGATCAACGAGCACGCATCTACTTTGGGATGTCATTAATCTGCATCGAGATCTGCATTTCAATCGCCAAATGATACGGTCCACTGTTCTATGCGCTCTGGTGAGACTTCCGCGAGATCTCCATCGGCCTTGTATTTACATATCGGTACAAGGGGCTACGGTTACGCGTTCTGAAATGTCGACTCTGTGACAAGTCACCTCTCGGGAACATAACTCTGACAATATGAGTGCTGCATTTGAATTTGTAATACCGTACGCGACGATGCGCGTGTGAGTTACATATGTCGCGCAATACATGTCGAAGTAATCTCAGTCGCGTTAACTGCGTAAAACACGGCGTTTTAACTTTCGTTTAATCTCGCAGAATGCAAGTAGTTTCCCGTAAAATATTTCCGAAATATTTCCTCTTGAGTCCTTTTCATAGATTCAGAGCGTGTTAAAATAACGATAACTGCTCTTTTTCACTAATATACGATTTTCCTCATTTTACTAACTTTGATATAATGGTATAACAATACTTCGCTCTATACTTTATTCAATATTATTGCAAATCAATGTAATTCAATACTTTATACAAGTGTGTT